GAGGGCAGTGTCACTGGACCTCCTATGTGGGATCCGAACCGGGGCCCTCTGGCGTCCCAAGCCAGCTCTTAACCAATGCGCCACTCTGCCGGCCCATTGGCACGAGAATTTTAAAAAGCTCTCCTGGTTACAGAGAAGATTAGCATGGCCCCTGCACAAGGATGACATACAAATTCGTGAAGTGTTCCATATTAAACAAACAAAACAACACAACAACAACAACAACAAAAAGCTCTCCTGGTGATTGCAACATGTGTGCAGTGTTGAGACTGCCGTGCTGGGGACATTCGTCTTTCTGTGCCTCTCTGTAGGCAGTTCTGCGTGCAGGCTGAGTCAGTGGAGGTGTAGATGAGAACACCCAACCTGGCCCTCCCTGGCGTCCCCAAGAAGGTCCCTCTAGTATTCTTATTAGCAGACATTTAATAGACGTTCATTGGATGACTGAGTGGAAAATTCACTTACCCCCCCTTAAGGGCTTATAGATGGGTTTTAAGGACATTGGGAATTCATTGAAACTGCACGCAAAATTTTCCACGAGATACATGTGTGTTTACTTCCTGCCCCCAGGAAGGAGGCATAGCTCTCATCAAATTCTCAGGGGTGCCCATGATCCTCAAAAGATCAAGAAGCAAAGATTCAATGCAACTCTTGCCTTACAGCTGGGAGATGGGTGGCCCCAGAGCTGAGCCTGACTGATTAGTCTGGAAGGTTGGCTGTTTGGGATGCAGGGTGTGGGGGAAAGGAGGCACACACTGGACAGCGAGCTGCACCATCAGCGCTGTTAGCACAGTTATCACTGTCGTCTTTATTAGGAACCCCTTTCCCATGGCTTGGGGCTGTTCCCTCTGCTGACATCTCTTTTGATGCCAAAATTTTTATCTTTCTGGGTGAAGAGGGGCATCTCAGAGCTGTGTGACTCACTGTCCCCACAGCCTGACATTCCCCATAGGGACTGACAAGGAAGAGACGGCACGGTGGCTTAGCGGTGATGGCAGAGGAAGGGGTGTGGTGGGGACAAGGTCTAGCTTTGGGGCACTGGCTGGAGCAAGGCAGATAGGCTGGGACTCAGGCTGGCTCTGCCCTGCATGACTATAAAACAGGCCTGGGGACTCCTGCTGAGCCCAGTGGGACTCACTCCAGGCCTCCCAGGCCACCTGCCCCAGCACTGTGCACTATGGGCCTGAGGAATGCAGTGAACAGCTGGGGGCGTGTCCAGAGCAAACAGTTGCCTTCCTCTCCACACATCGTGCCAAGATCAGTGGCCTGTGACTTGGCCCAGCACCCTCCCTCTGAAGGTCTGTTCTTGGTCCCTGGGGTTCTCGGGAGGCGTCCTTGGGAGCTGCTACTCTTTGGTTCCCTGCTTCTCATTCCTGCTTACACCTGAGGGCGGCACCCTTACCCTGTCCCTGCCCGGGCTGGGGTGGGGACAGAGGCTGCCCTGCCCAGGTGCTGTTTCTTGGCCCCTCAGGAGAGCAGTACCTCCTGATCTCACGGGCCCAGAGCCACGGCAGCCCCAGCAGTCGGGAAAAGTGGGGAGGTGTTTTCTGCATGGGTTCCTTCCTCACGGTGACCAGGCAGGCACTAGGCTGCCTCTTGGGTTCTAGTCCTTGCCTGGAAGAGCCTCCAGTGTTGCTGCATGAGTCAATGCAAGGCACACAGACCTAGGAGGGACGCGGGAAGTTCAGCAGCTTTGATTGCTGTTATTCTGTTTAGATGTCAAGCCTGTTGTCGTCAATGTAATTTTGGGGGGGATCAAATGAGAGAGCAGAGTCACGTCTTACCCAGGGGCTCAATCATAAAGCGGGGAGGATGTTAAATGCATGTTGGACGGGATTGTGGTGGTGGAGCAGGTGTCAGGACAGAGGAACCTTTGGAGAGCAGCCCTCGCTCATTAAGTCGCAAATTTCAGATGAGGGAGATGAGACTCAGTGAGTGGAAAGACACTTCCTACAGCTGCCTGGTCTTCTGACTCCCAGTGTGGCCTGACTCTGAGGGGACCGGGAATGACAGGCCTGCAGATTGGGACGGGTTCTCCCAGACGGGACGCACTGCCGGGGCTGCGAAGCCAGTGGTGAGCATGAGGGAGAAGCCACATGTGTCACCGAAGGGCAGGGCCAAAGTGTGCAAGAGCTGGATGCTCCAAGGGACAGGGTGGGAGTGTGGCGGGAGGGGTGGGGGGAGTGCTGCATGTGTGTCGGCTTTAGCGTCCTGGACTCGGGAGCCTCGGTTTCTCCATACAGGAGGCAATGCTTCAACTTCCCTCAGCTTTTGGGGTGCAGGTGGTCAGCTCCCCAGAATGTCTGGGGCAGAAAACACTACCAGGGGGCAGTTAATGGTCACTCAGTCCCCACGTGGCCCCGGGTGCCTGCCATGTGGTCCCTGGTGTGTCCCATCAGCACGGAGTGGGCCTGAATCCCCCACTGACGGTGAGTGGCCTTGTTCTTGAATGATTCCTCCGCGTTCACAGAGGGGACACGAAGCCCTGTTGGGGCCTATCGTCAGGCTCTTGGAAGCCGCCCAGAGGCGTGGCCCACGTTTAGTGGTCGAGGAATACAGTTCACGTGTTTCATTCTTCCCACCGTTGAATAAGCCACTGGGCCTCTGTGACCCGCAAAAGAGGCCGCGTCTGCCCCTCGCCCTGAAGACCCAAACCGCCGGTGGGGGTGCACCCACATGGGGGCCTGGGAAGAGGGTGCCATGTGAGTGTCCCCATTTTGCAGATGTGGACAACAGGAAAGACCCAGCAACCTGCTTCAGTTTGATGTGCACAGCTTGGCCTGAAGCTCCTCCAAGCCTCCCTGTCCCCGGGCCGGCTTCCCGCGCCATAGAAACACCGTGTCACTGGAGTGCGTCGGGGGGCGGTAAATGAGGGGTGCACGTAATGAGCCGTGTAAGGGGCTCCCACGCAGCGGGTGCTCACAAATGTCGTGTTTGTTATTGGGAACTTTTGCTTTTCCATTCCTCCGGTGACAGAATGCAAGAACGAAGCCTGGGAAGCAAGAGGCTGGCCCTTCAGGCCCCACGCAAGTGGGTGGTGGTGCCGGGATCTGGGGTCTGTGCAGCAGGTAGCGGAGAGCCTGCGCAGGGAGGCGTTCGAGGGGTGTCTGGTGGAATCGCTCCATTCTCTGCTTTATTTCTGTCCGTGGCACCCATCAGCAGCCCTGTGTGTTAGACTCGGTGACTTTGCTCACAGCTTGTCCCCCCCTGCCTGAGCGAGTGAGGGCAGGTCTGACCAGTTCACTCTGTGTCCCCGGGGCTGGGACTGGGGCCGGGCAGGTGAGGCAGGTCCTCTAGGCACAGGCTTAGATCCTGTTTGTAGGTGAAATGTTGATATTTTGTTCATCGTAGACATTTTTGCATTAGTTTCTGTTTTTTAATATTGTGTTAAAATATAATTGATCCTCATTGTCTGAGTCCCCAGAGAAGAGACTGTTTTCCAGTGGGTGTTCTGGGCTCTTTGCATCTGAGGGAGCTGGAGCCCCAAACTGAGCTTCTGTTACTTGGTTCTGGAATTTGGGGATGGCTGAACATTTATGATAATGTGAGCTACAGA